GTCATTGGCTGACAGACTGGTTAACGGATACGAATTACGTTGGAAGCGGAATCAAACGATCTCGAAGAACTGTCTGTTTTGAAACTCGTTGGAAATAATAACTTTCTTGCAACGCGCATCTACATACCTATAGTACATCCAAAAGAATCGGTAAACGATAATTATCAATTTTATTTTGCTCTGTTTCGTGTCATCGATCAAATACGCGCCGTTAGCTCACCAATTACACGCCTGTTTTCCTTAAGTTTCCTTCAGTTTGTAGTAGCTGCTTGAGCATAGTCGTTGGCTTTCTGTTTGCTCCATAGACGGTAGCCTTAAAGAGCTGTCCATAGGTTCGGGCGGTAAGAAGAACCGTCAGAAGGAACGCCGTTTGATAAAGGGCTTCAATATCGCCCCTCAACCGAGCGGGAGCGGCAGTCTACCACCGGTCGACGAATTCATAGCGTCCCTTCAGGAGTCGCAACACGAGAACTCTCACGACATATTTGGCTCGACTCTGAGTGGCATATTTGCGCCCGGGACCACCGCTAGAAGAAGTCCCCATCACACGAGCACAAATAGCGTACCAGGACTAGGTACCAGGCGACAATGTCGCGGGACGAGAGGAAGCTCGAGCAAGAAACGATGGGAAAATATTATCGAGGCGGCCAAGGCTGGCAGAGTTTCCAGGCTAATCGGTAAGTTAGACGTTTAATCGAATAATCCTCTTTTTGCTGTTCGGTTCGATAAATTTATTAAAAGTTGCGACACCCGGTGTACCCGATACGATATTCTACGTGTCATCGGAACACGAGTCACGCGCGCGTTTAAATATATCGACGAACGACGAATATTGAAAGGCAAACGTTCTCGCTTCCCTAGGTAGATCTCGTTCGGAGGATTCCGTGTATTCGCCGACGTTTGAGGACGGCGGTTCAAGGTCGGAAGGTTCCACGGACTCGAAGTCTTCCTTGGAAACTCCTGGCCACGAAGTGATTCAGCCGCACCATTCCCATCACTCGCATCATGTGCATCATCACGAGGCGCATCACGTGTTCGCCCATGGTCTGGGCGCTCTCGCGGCATTGCGAAAGAAACGGAAGAAATTCTCAGCGTCCAGATCGTCGGCACCGGCCACGAAAAGTACCAACGGTTCGAATCCGTTGAATCCGATCGCCTTGGCCTTCTATTCGAGAGTGTCGAAGAAGAAGCCGTTGCATAGAGCCAGCAGCGTACCGACCAGGGCGCCAGAATTAAGCCAGCAACCGATCCTACCGAGAAGGCACGAGGGCACGCAAAGTCAACAACCTAGCATCGACACGCCGGAAGGTGTCAGCGTCAGCGAGCAATCGGGTAAGTTCAGACGTCGCTGGTTCCATCGTTAGTTGGCTGAAATATTGTCAAAATCGACGATATTCCGCTACGCTATTCCGCTACCACCTGTGAAAAGAATCGCTCGTTTCTGTATCGCAGTGGTCACCGCTGTTCCGCTAACGCCGTCAACGACCGAGGAGAGCATGATCGCCAGTGGTTCGATCTCGGTAACCATGAAAAGAAATGGGTCCGCGACGCAGTTACAGCGGCTTCCAGGCATCGAGCTGATATCAGGCCACGACGTGTCCGGGGGGTGGCTTTGAAACGATCCATCGGTCGCTCAAGTGCGACGCGTCAGCTAGCCAAGAGGAAACGACTCGGACGTTCGCAAGTTTTCTTTTTTGTTTCCACCAGCCTTTCAAGGCTGGGACGACGACATCGATCGAAATCGAATCTCACGAAAGATTGCGTCGTCGTCATTGGCGGCGGCGGCGGCGGCACACGCACAATGATGCCTTTACTCGCGACGACGCACGAAACTATAGAAAAATTGATCTATCGTATAAATGAGTCTCGTCAACAACGCCCTTTCGTCGATCCATCGATAGGTCATCTTCTCTTCTCTTCGATCGAAAGGCACGACATTAATACGAGCGACGTGTTTCGTCGATCGCGACAACTTTCCCACTTACGGGGAGATTAGCTTTCGCGATTCATGGGCTCGAAAGCGTTTCCAAGCAACGAGCTAGAACGTCGTTGCTTAACGACGCGTGTTAGAAGTGCGAATCCTTCTCAGGCGAAAAAAGTTTCCTCGAGCAGAACGTGTTAGGATTAACTGAAAACGACCAAACTTTCGTTGCGATCATCGATATCCAGGAACGTTTACGCAGTGATCCTATCTTGAGCACATTTTCTCGCAGTCTTCTCTCCTTTTTTTACGAGATCGCATCGTAGAAGTCAACTTTGTCGATTTAAAACCAAAATATTGTTTAGGACCAGCGTTTACCTTTAAATCGCGTGGCGTCGCTCGTAAGCAAATGTCGTTCGTCGAACGATTTTGTACCGCGAGAAGAAACATCGGGCCAGACAAGAGTGTTTTCATTTGTCGCGGACTCGAAAGTGGTATCCTTCGAAACGACCACAACGTTGGAACGGATTTTATCCGTTCCGCGTCATTCTAAGACCTACTGCTGCTGATGCTACTACTACTATTACTACTACTATTACTACTACTACTACTACTACTACTAGTTCTACTACTACTACTACTAGTACTATTACTATTACTACTACTACTACTGCCAGAAGGGAAGGGACAAGTGGGTTGACGGTAACAGTCTAGTCAGCACTAGTCAGACGATCTCGTACGAAAGAGAAGAAAACGAAGTTTACTTTAGAGTTGGGGAGACGATCAACTGGCTGCTCAAGACCACTCCCCCTACTACAAATCATGACCAAATAGCGTATCTCTATAGCAGTGATTCTTGATTTGCGAAGCCAGCTGCATTGTACCGCAAATATCTGGCGATGGACCTATAATTTTTTGGAAATTGTTACTATGATCGATAGATATTTAGATAGTCTTTCGCGAGCCGATACGATACGATTTCTGCACCTTTTTTCCACCATTTTACTCGTCGATCGAAACTTTTAAATTAAATTGCATTTAGACAATGAGCTTAAAAAGTTAAGAACCACTGTTCTGCGCAGGGAAACACGCTAAAGGGTTAATCGAATGGTGTGGTGAACATAACGCTTCGTTATCCTTGAACGACCAGTTGATTTTAATCGGACCAGAGTCGCGATGGCGTGTTAAACTATAAGAGACAATTGTATTAGTACTAATGATAGATCGGAGAAAATTGTTATCATCGTTTTAGCAGGCTCGCATATACTTAATTTATTATCCTAGTTGCTTCAGGAAGCTGGTCTACCGAAGATCGAAGATTTTGTATCGTATACCGAAACGACTTGGGGTTTCTTACTTTTTTATTTCAAGTATTCGACGAAATCTAGTCAAACATCTAATCAAACGTTTTTTTTTTTTGCGTTAACGGAACAAACCTCTTCTTCTAATGCTCGGTTGAACAGGAAAATTTATTTCCCTCTATCGATCGTCATTGGAGTAAAAGAAAAACACGTTTCCTTATGTCGAATTCACTGTGCCCGACATGACTACACCGCGTAAAGATGCAATCATTCGATTATCGTCTTCACCGATCATTTCGATTGATCGACGTTGCACGGTATTTATCGAATAGAAGAAGAAGATAGTTCAGGTGCTTGAAAATTAGGGCAATGGATCTTCGACTAGTCGATATTCGTTTTCAGCGACGACGGATGAAAAACGAACAGGGAAGAATTGCCTTCAACTTTCAAGGAAGTCGGAACACACGAAGCTATCGAAAACAATTTCTTTCATTTCACGTGACTCGTCGTGTTGCATATTTTAACGGACTTTGTTCTTAATGTTTATAAAAATGTTCCGTTGGTGGTTCACGTAGCAAGGAAGATGAGGTAACAGTGTCACGACCAAAAAAATGGCCGTAGTATAGTCGAGTAGAGGCCTAAAAGAGACGAAGATCCGTACTACTTCCTAAATATTACGTGTACGTATGATAATAATAAGTACTATTAATATTAACGCGCTGCCAGGACCGAGGTAACACGCTGAGAAAATCGTAATCGGAAAACGATTCGACTTCATCGCGATCCTGACAGGTCGTACGTCTAGTAATTATACCGCCTACGTGTATTATTAATGAGATTATCATTGTAAATGTAAAGATAGATGTCCACTTGGCAAAAGTCGTAGTGAATGTTACATTGTGAGCGGTTAGTGTTGTAAAAAAAAAAAAAAAAAAAAAATAGGAAAATCAAATGAAAAGAGATCGTCGACGATGAACAGACAAAAAATCAACCGAACAAACACAAAACGGAACCAACTGTTTTATTAACGAAATAAGCCAGCGAACAAAAATAGATCGTATCCTTTAAAAACGAATAATAGTTACGCGAATTTTACGGAATTTTTTTACAAAATCGAAATTAAACGTATCCTGTTCGGAACAGGATCGGACTTCAGAATTAGGTGTTCGAAGGTTAGTGGAAATTTTGAATTATCGCAAAACCATAAGAGTATTTGATATACATATGTAGCTATACGAGTTTTGTACAATCATCAAAGTACGAACCGAGACATCGATGTTAAACGGTTACGAGTCGATAGAAGAAGATCGAAAGATCGATCAAGAAATAAAGGTACGATCAGTCGAAGAGATTAATATCGAAAAGACCGTCGAGCTCGTTTGTACTAACAGTACGATCGATCTTACGTCGACGAGTACTGTACTACACGTTTCTCCGTAGCCACGAAAGCATATAAGAATTCTCTTGTCTCAGTTGCGGAACATTTGCTTGGTATAATTTGTCAATGACCGAAAAATTGAACGGGATAAAAGAGATTAATTCCATCTATCGCGAGCAAATCGATTACGCTCGTTTGCCATCGCAGCCCTGCGTATTTGGATAACTCGACCGAGAATAAGATCACGAACGACCATTAATAAAATACCATTTATTCTGATACATCGGTTTATTCGATACCCAACAACTCGTAGAAAATTAAACGTCACGTTGTTTTCATTTAAGAGTGATACAGGAAAGAGTAACGAACCGTTATCTTTCAACGGAGCATTCGTACGAATCTGCTTCGAATTCCTGCTTCGTATTGGTCTCGATTCGTGTTTATTCGAAGAGCTAATCGCACGGTGCAAGTTGGCATCGGGAACGACGGGTCAACTTCTTGGGACAAGGACTCCCGCCGTTTAGTGCTTCTTGCTGAAAATTCAGATTCAATTCTACAAGAAGATTCTTAATATACAGAAGTAACCCTTGCATTTTATCGAGAATTTATTTATGAAAAAAACGCGACTCTATATGAGGCGTTGAACGAATGTTGAAACGTCGTACCTGAATGGTGCGATAACTGGTGACACGGCCGGCACCGCAAGTGACGCTACAAGGTGACCAAGGCGACCAGTTAGTCATAACGCAATTCACCGATGCTAGAGGTTGAAACGTTTGTTGAGGATTAGTGCTGTTCAGGGACTCTCCGCTAAGGATCGTTCGAACCTAAACAGGTCATTACTCTACATGAAACTTGTTCTTTGGAGCGGCTCGATGTCGTTGGAAATTATCGGAGAAAACTTGACTCACTATGCCACAGGTGTTGGTGCACTCTTCAGCGGTCAAGAAATTGTTTCTGTTACCCTTGCAGCCACCATAAACGAATGGTGCGCACATCCGCTTTTGAGGATCGTATGCCCACCTTTGAAAGTATCCCCTGCAAGGTCCAGGGTCTACGGGCTCCATGCAAACCACTAAAAATAAAATATACTCGAGATATTCAATGAAAATTATAGAAATATCCACGGTATTACCTTTAGCGGTTGCCATATCGAAAGTACAATCAGCCTGCTCCAAACACGGTCTCTGCTGAACTAGCTCCGTCTTGGAGGAACACTTGTGTTGTTGCGATGGTTCGACCATCAGCAGCCTGGTTCTCAATTTCACTCCCTTTCCGCAGGAAGCACTGCACGGTGACCAATCGGACCATTCCGTCACCTTGACAAAAACATACAAGCACCGATAATTGATTTAAGGAAACGTCCAAAGATAAAGTTAAATAGAACGTACGTTGCACGCAGGATCGATGTGTTCCTCCAAGCCGGGGGGACAGGGTGGTTCCATACACTTTTCTTTTTCGACGATGGCAACACGAGAACACCGTTTACGACCCATGCGGTCCTTGAATCTTCTCGTTCTTGTTTTCATCCCTATTCCACAAGTAGAGGAGCACTCGGACCACGCGGACCATTCGTTGGTTTCGCAGAAAGAGTGGTTTACGGGAAGCAAGTCCCTCTCATCCGGCTCCTCTTCTCCTCTGAAGTTGCATTTCCAGACTTATTCGGTGTATTCGTATTACGTTTATACTTCCTAATTCTAACTTTGCATCGATATCGATTGCTCTTTATATTTTACGCAAACAAGATCAACAAACTTGGTTTTCCTTTGCGATATATGTACTCACGAGCACTCCGGAATGGACGAGACGCACATCTCCTTCGAAACCAACTGTCTGTTGCAATTGAACATTTTCGCTTTTTCAGGCATCAGGTAGGACCTGGTACGCATTCTCAATCCTTTGCCGCAAGTCACCGAACAAGTTGACCATGATGTGTATTCCGTGGTTTGACACTCGGCTTTGTTCGAAACAAAACGAGATATACGTTAAAAGAACGGAAATGTAAAAATGAAACGCGTACACGTTAGAAATTCATACGTCTAGAAGTGTCCTCGGTGTTCTCGGCGACTTCCAATTGCGTGACTTGCTGCTGAAGAGTCTCCTCGTCGCAACCACGCGGAACTATCTTCTCTCTATTCAAGTACAACCTGGCCAACGGCAGCATAGGTCTCCCAGTTGGATCGTAGAATGGCGATCTAGGATCTTCGGGATACAATGTCGTGATAGGCTTCATCTTCTCTCGCGGCTTCGTTTCGGAGTTTGGCGACATATAGGAGATCCCATTGTCGGTTCCGGCGTCCCACGGATACAAATCGATGATTTCGCTCTTCGTCCAGGTGCAATCTTTTCTGCACAGATTCAGCTTACTGACTCCGATCACCCAGTCGGGCGATGGTCCCAGCATAGAGGCCACGGACATCATGGGGTGATTCTTGTCTACCCTAAAGATAGAAGAACAAAGCGTAACTCTGTGAACTCTGTTTTTCATGGAGGGTACTATTGAATAACGTTACCTGAAGCTGGTGCTCGTATTAGTGTTTACGTTGGGATACCATAGTCCAGCAGCTTTGATTAGAGTCCTCAATTTATTCGAGTTAGCCCTGAGCTCGGCTTCCACCCCCGATGCCGAGCCCCACTCGGCCAATTGCCGGAAGCCATCGGTGGCTATGTGGTCTTTGCCCCAAAAAGAGAAGCTAGGAACGTGAGACGCGCCGATCACGTCGCTGAAGTGGGTCAACCAAGCCGAGAACGGAAAGTCTTTCGGATGGGTCACGTTCGACCAAATTCCCTCCAAAGTTAGCTGGTACAGAATTATACGAATCGTTGGAACATCCTTAACGCGAGCTACGGTTCTAGCTCTACGGTTTGTAATTAAATACGGCATGTTTGTTTCTTCGTTCAATGTATTATAAAATGTTGATCGGGCTCACCGAATATTTTGCTTCGTCACAGGCACAGCACTTGTCGACGTCTAAAACTTCCACCTCTTTAGGTCCCATTTCGCAGAAGGTCTTGGTTAGACCGCCATCCTCGGCGTACCATCGTACATTATTCTCCAAGACCATGGCCGTAAAGATAACGCATCCTGATCCAGGCGGCGGTGCCCTCCACATCACTTGGACCTACGCCAAGCGGTAAGAAACGTTATACCGACTCGTCGCGGAAATCTGCGGGCTGCAGCCACGGTAACGTCTACAGAATCAAACACCATCCGACTTTTGGCTGACAGCCAAAAACAGTGAATTTATTCGCGATCGGCCTCTCCGACAATTTCCATGCCCGCGTTGCGTCTCGACTCGCGTCGAATATAACGCGTCGGATGAAGGAAAGGGAGCAAAAACAGTCGAAATATTCGTGACAAACTGGATAAAATGGTTTGTTTACCTCCGTTTTGGGGAAATCGGAGGCTTCTGAAATGGTGTTGACACAGTCCTCGTTGAAGGTGGTCAGCGAATCTGGGAATAGCTGGAAGTACCCGACTCGTATGGCTGGATTATTCGGGGCATGCTGAGAGTGCACCGAAACCGTAAATCTTGTAAACTGTTGCAATCTTTCGTGGGTCCTCGACCCTGAAATTGACGTATTTGAAAATTGTGCGAAAAATGAAACTCTGTCGGTTCAATGTAATATCACAGATCTCTGTAACGTACAGAAAAGTCCAGGAACAGGAAACAGTCAACGTTACCTTGCAAACTTATCGTGTAAATAGCATTTGGGACATATTTGTTGGACTCGCCGCTAACGAGAATCCTGTAGCCACCGTCGCCTGTGGTTCTCCTGGCGGAAGTTTGATCAGGGGTCGGTCGCATAGGGCAACCTGCTTGAACCGTGATCAGTAGACATGCTGTCACGGTCAGGAACAACATGGTGCAGCCTGAAACGATCGAGTCGAACTTGTCCCTAAATCAGCGGCTATACAAAACTATACAAAACTTTATGAACCGAAGAAAAGCGAATGATTCGACTCGACGGATGTTGTACGCGATAGATAAGCGAATTGAAAGGCGTAGATGGAATCGCGAGATCCTTCTGTTTACGCAATAATTACGGGGCCGCGTCTTTGAATACACGCATTTCTCAACAGACAATCATAGCATGTCCGAGGCTCGTTCGGGAATAGGTTCTCGATCGACCAGGAAATCGAAAGTTGGGAATCGATGTCACTTTGCTCACGCTTCCTGAACCGAGCAAACACTTCCGCCGCGCCCGCGTCCAGTTTCAGCGATCCGGTTACCTTCGCGGACGATACAAGGAGTTTCCGCGGCAATTGGTTCCCGATTGAACGAAAACAACAGCTTGCGATAGTCTCGTTTTTCGCGTTTCCTTGAAATATACGTATGATGACGTAAGGGACAAAGTTACAAGACGCGCGCTGATCCAACTGACCGTGACGAACTCCGAGAAACTCTGACGCGTTGGGATTAAATACGAGATATATAGGTTGCTGCATGGAAAACAGTTGATTTTTTCTATACATCAACGGGTATAACTTTTATTCGAATGTTGTTTACAATTTTGTTATAATTTAAATGAAATTAATCGTCGGTGTTTAGAAACAGACTTCCCTTTTTTTATCTGTGTACAAGCAATTTCTCGCAAAATGTTTGTTTTTCAATCAATCGTTTTATTTGTTCCCGTAATAAATCTTTCGCTTCCAAGTAAAGCATTTATCGCAAGTAACGAATCTTATCGAACGTACGTGATGAATGGAATACAGCGGTAAGAAACCCGTCCGACAAAGTATTCAATATTCGAGCAGAATCGGAGATGCGTCGGCTTACGCGTAAACGTTGTATATAGCAAGTGGGTCGGGAGTTCGAGCAGCTTTCGAGATCGTCGCTCTCAGCATGTAGGTGTAGGTTTGTAGAACGCCCGCGCCGATGTCATAGGCGACCGCTTGAAACAAGAACACATCGGTGAACGATATGAATCACAAGAAATTTCACAGGCCAAAATCTAATTCCGAAGACCGTAATGCCCTTTTTAGCGCAGCTATTGTTAATATGAACGCCAAAGACGCTATACTATACCCTACCAATGAATAATCGGAAACGTAGAGTCTCAATCTTTCGTCGAAGATACATATTGATACGGTACGATAAGATTGCTTCGAATCACTTCGAGTTTTGTTTGAGTTCGGTTCATCGACTTTGCGAGATACGGCTAGATTTTACGGTCGCGATATTTGCTGCGATCGGCCGAGAACCGTAGAAATAAATCGTGTGTCTTGTACGAGTCGCGAAAAGAAAGCGATTCGCAACTAGCACGTTCGAGCTCCCTATCTCCCGTTGTAACCTCGCGATTTCACGGCCCTGGCTAATTTCGCTTGAGTCATGGTGTCCGTTAATTGCGAGCAATTAAGAATAATAATCGGGCCATCGTCGTACACAAAAGTGTCGCACGAAGAGCTCGTTAACGAAATTCTCGAGTATAACGAACCGTATTCCGAGAATCGGCGTGTCGATGATACCGTGATATTAACCGATTCGACAACGAATCGAACCGAGATAGACGGAAACACGCGAGATTAACTTTTTACGATCTCCTCTGAGTTCATCCATCGAGCAACGACGATTATGTAATTGTCGTTAATTCGGAACTCGCATGGTACGAAGAGAGAAAGAAAGCAAAGTCAAAATGAACGATATAGCGCTTGATTATTTAATCAACGTTTTTTTGCCTCTATTCTCATTCGAAAAATAAATTGTCATAAATTTTTTGTTTCGATGTAATGTTTCATTTGAAGTTTCGAGTAAAGTTCTGTCAGTCTGGTTGAAAGGGGAATGCGGTATCGCGAGTACGTAGAATATGAACACCTACGAGGGCTGACCAAAATGTCTAACCCAACACAGACCGTAACTCCTTCCAAAAATTGATCGTTCTCGTATGTCCAGTAAAACTACAGACTACACCTTGTATGTTGATTCTAACTCGAGAGGTGTCGAAACGAAGCAGGTTGCAGCTTCTTTTACGACGCTCGCCCTTTCACGAGAGCTCGAGGTACCACCGCTTCGGGGTGTTTCGCTCGCGGCCAAATTCAAAGCGGTTTATATTGCGTTGAAAGTCGATTACTTAACGACGCTAACGCAAAAATCCCCAGATATGTTTCATTCGAACGACACATCTCTTTCCGACGTATCGCTTAGTTTTTTTCACAACAAATTCAAACTCCCTTTTTGAAACTTGAAACTAAAGAAATGAGTCGCGAGAAAAATGTAAGCGTCATCGCATGTTAGATGCATTTACTTCAAACGCATCTTCCGGAGAAAGGAATTGCCAATCGTAGCAGGGCTGACGTTTTAATTCCTGCTCTCGTAAAACTCTACATCCAACTAAAAATTTCTCGACACTGGCAACGTTCTACTTACTCGTTGTGCCACATTCCTCTTAACCCGGTATCATTCTTTCTTCCTACAATACAGATGGAGCAAAGTCACATTTAGGTCTTTTTCAGTTTAATGGGTTAAACAAACAATTTTAGAAGGAATTACGCATAATGGAAATTGTCAAGACTATTAACGTGTCAACTAAAATATAAGAAAGCAATTTCTCTCGTTGTGTGGGAGATTAAACGATCACTCTGGGGCGAATAAACGGACAGCGAAGCGTGTTTCGAACAACTGGCGAAAAAATAAAATTTGACAAATTGTACACACTCCGTATCGGCGCTACACGCGACACTCACCGATGCGATTAAGCCAACTCGTTTCGCGTTGACTGACCGCAAATCGTAATCGCAAAGGCGCTAGCCCACTGTCGGGCTATTGAGTAAGACGAGAGACGAGAGAACGATCGTACACGACTAAACCAGATGACGAACTGAACGGACGGCCAGTATCGCGGATCACAGGAAAGTCTGCAGCGATGATTCAAAAAATACCCACCATTCGGACACTTTCCCGCGCTCTATCTTCCCGAAGAATGCTCGAAGCTCGTTGGCGTTTCGTTCGTCGGTCTATACGTAGACTGAAGTAGTCTATCGTGTTTCTAATTATTTTTATACATGTTAATAAATATAATATGTAATGGTTTCGAACGTCTTGTAGACAAGCCTATAGACAACAATGTTTTACTGTAGCGTTATTTTTTAATCTTATATGTGGATAAATTATTTGAAAAAAACCTACGATACAATAGAAACTGAAACGTAACAAACGATGATAGTTTCAGAGTAAACGCAATGTCTGCGATACAATTGGTAAAATTGTTTCGATCCAAATTTGCGTATCAATTTGTTTTTTTGCAAAAGGAGTCTCTACGAAAAAAGACGAGAATTTTATTTTACTGTAGACAGCTACGCATGCAGTTTTCTATCAAGTTGCCCGGCGATGCTTGTAAATCATTATCTGGCGCTACGAGGTCGGTTTCAGGTCATCGTGTTTTTCCTTGGAAGCGGCTACGTCTTTCAGATAAGGCGATGCACGATAAATACTACCCACGCTCGCGTTTACCGAAGCTTTCGTTTCGCAACCAACTGAAAATCAACATCGAAAACGCTACCCCTCGTAGTCATATTCCTCGCTATCCGACTCTCTATTTGCAAAACAGGTAGTTGCCCGATAGGATGGCAGGTAGAGCGGTGGTGGAAATCAAACAGTGTGATAGAGATAGCGTACCAGCGCAACAGACTATTAACTTGCGTGTCATCGATTGAAACGGAGGACTACGAATAAAAATTATTTTCAGGTTTTCCATCCCAGTTTTTATTCTGAAACAGAGTGAAACACTTAAATGGGAACACCTAAATATCTGCGTTACTCATGATCGCACGAAAAAACTCTTTGGACTACAATTTCGTTGGTCTGAGAGACACGTGTAACGATCCCATTCATTTCTTATTAAACAAAAAATCAATGCATTCCATTATCGTTAAAGGACCTTGAGTTTGACATCGTCGCGTCGTAATCCTGTACGAATCGTTTACGTCCGTCGAGAACTATAAAAAATGATTGGTGAAACGGCATCTACGGCATACAGCTTACGACGGAGAACGTTTACGAAAGAGCTTATTTTGGTATAATGCGGTAATTGAAAGTTTATCAAAGACTTTCGCTAATGTCGGTAGCATAACAGATTTGAAAGCAGCGCGTCGCAGCGAGCAAAGCGTGGGCAGGTCACGCAGGCGTGGAATTATCGAGCGATGTGCCGCGAGCTCGACAGTCGCGTCGAGGCAAGTCATCGGGACTTTGTAACTCTCCGTCGGTGAACCACAAACTCGACGCACCAAACATTTGAATCATCGAGAAACTGGACTCGACGTGACCAGCGTCGGTATGGCAGCCTGCGGTACGCTCCGATAGGGATTCGTCGCTGGATCACCGGAACGGAATCATTAAATCGTAACGCAATCTCTATAAAGAGAGAAAGAAAGAGAGAGGAGAGAGAGAGAGAGAGAAAGAGTAAAATGCCGGTTGACTGCGTAGAGATTTCGCGATGACCCGTCCTTGTGTTGGTCTCGGGAACGATTCGTTCGGCTTTGTCCGCGCTCGGCGGTGATTCTCGACGATAATCGCAGGCTTGTGCGGCATTGGTGCGTATTTGGCTGTGCTGTGACAGGTGAGACCGTCCAGGTGAGGTTCGACGTCGACCACGAGCGAAACGTCGAGGGGGACGCATGGCTAATCTGGCGGGCAGCTCGTCTTCGGGCCTGACCAGGCCTCCGACCATGCTCGAACAGCTTCTCGAGGAAATCAACTTTCAAAGAACCAAGGAGCTTCGACAAATGCTCAAGGACGGTTCGTACGATCCCACAAATTCAACTAGCTTACGTCTTACGCGTCCTTTCAGAAAGATTTAGTATTTATCACTCAACGTTTAAGTCGTTGACGCGGTTCCACTTCGCCAGAGTACAATTTATCAACATCGACGGTAAAGTAGCTCGATGTAGATTAGAAGATAATATCGTACCGGTCTTTCTAACAAGTTTTTTACGTACTCTGTTTACGCCTATGATGATCTCATCTTGCAGTGTGATCAAAACACGATACCACTGTACAGGCATTTCTAACGGTATACATATATTTTCATTTTATGTCTCTCCTATAAGCAACGGCAAAAGGGATAGAGTTCGTTTAAATACTAAAGTCTGACAACCACGAAACAAGTAAGGGCTTAAGCGTGGTTAAGTCCGCTTTGCGCGTTTAGAGGAGTCGCGAGGGTCCTCGAACAAGGGGTGTGTTCCTGGAGGACTGGAGTCTTTGTTTGGGAAATGCAGGGTTCGCTGGGAGGGTGATTCGACGATCGATGAGTCGAGGGTAAAACGAGGAACGATTGGGTCTTTGTACGCTCGCTTTCGCTTGCTCGGATGTTATGGAATAAGTATCGCTAACCTACAGAATCGTTTCCATTTGTCAACAGTGAAGCGAATCTGACTTTGTAAAGTCGGTATGGAAAGTGTTGACAATCACTGGGTCGAATACATTTGCGTGTATTTACATATTTTATTCGACGACCATGAGGTCGAAGACCAAGAACCTGGTTAACCCCCCGCATCGCGACACCTTGCATTTCTTTTAAGCCCATTGTTAATCCGTCTTGAATCATTTTCCAAGCCGATATATATTTACCGAGTACTTACGATTGTAATTTAGAAACGTAGTCGATCGTTCTTATACCGAAGTAATCGCAAAATGTTACGGCCCGACACCACCATCCAGGGGATCGCTATCAAGTCGAGAATATCGTTATCGATTATCGACCGGTTTCTCCATAATTCCGTTGTCGTTTCTCTCTCCTTGGAGAATATTGTTTTGCTCGGCTACGGATAATGTTAATCCGTGGGAACGAGAGGATATCGATGGTAATCGAAAATACCGAAACGATCTTTCCTCGCGTAAATTACTTACTTACTTATTTTTACCAGCAACCTTCGCGTCTCTGACGTCTCCGTTATATTTTTTCATTCGCGTTGTACAATTACCCTTTACCTTTAACGATGTTCGTGCCATGCAACATTGAATTGAATTGAATTTATTTGCGTGCATCGTTTTAATTTTAATTCTCGAAGAGGACGGAACGTTGAGAAATTTGGATGGTCGTTTTTAAACGTTTCCACAGATTCCGGGTTCGTGGTGCTTCAGGGTACCACCTACTGGACGGACCTGTTCGTCCGACATTTCCTTTTTCAAGCGGAGCACACGATCGACGGCGACGATCTGCTCTTCTTCGTTCGCAAGAAGCACGTGAAAACCTCGTCGAGATACTTACCGAAGTTCGAGACGGAGGTTGACGTTTTTCGGAAGGACAGCAAAAAATTGCCGATCGGCGATCCCGACATCGACTGGGAGGAAACCGTGTACCTGAATCTGGTCGTACATCAATTCGACTACACGCTCACGTTAGCGATCTGCACAAGAACGAGCCCCAAGGAATTGCAAGTGAGACGCCGACGACTTGCGAATATTCGCGTTTGGCGGCGCTTGAAATTCTTCCCGTTTGCTAACAAACACACGCATCTTTTAGGTTTTACGAAGACACTCGCAAAAAGTGTACGCGAGCCCGAGCCGACGTCGCATGGACGCGAAGGGAGATCTCGAAGAGATGACCTATCCACATATATGCTTCATGGTGGATAATTTCGACGAAGTTTTCTGTGATATTCTAGTGAGGGACGGCGAAATGGTTTGCGTGGAGCTGGTAGCATCCGACAGAGAGGGCGCGATTCAAGGTGTCATTTTCCTTGGTTCTATCAGATACGATGCGCTGAAGAAAGTATACGACGCGAGGGTACGTCTATAACCGTTAGTCTATCAACGGATCGTAACAATTCGCACGCGTTGGAACGTGGCTTCGTCGTCGAATGTCTCGCTAAAACGTAATACCGTCGCTTCAATTTTTCAGTCCAGCTTGAGTACCAAAATGGCGCAACGCATGACCTTCGGCCTGTTTTCCGGCGCGGCATCTCAAAGAATAGAGTTCGTCCGAATGAAAGGACCTCGCGGTACGATTATCGAATCTTTGAATATTTCCTCAAGTTGCAGGAATCCAATCGTTGACCTATCGATTCGATAGATCGATTCCTCGCGCCATTTTCCATCGTCTTCGTTGTTCCTATTTCAGGAAAAGGGCACGCGGAGATGGCTGTGACGAAACCCAAAGGATCGGGAGCGGAAACACCGACCTCGGAGCCAGGGTACTGCGCCACGGATTCTCTGTGGGACGCGGACTGGGACGACGCCGAGGAATTGTTCATGTATCGTCATCAGCGAAGGTTGTCGGACCCTAGCGCGAACTTGAACAATTTTGTTCGAGGCGGCTGGAGAACGAAACCGGACACCGCGGCGATGAAAGCCAGGTCGGAGAACGAGGGTTTGGACTCGATGGCAAACGGTCTGAGCGAGATCGAGGCAGGAGACGTTCGAGACGGTAACTACGAACTCTTGTCCATCGCGGAACCACCATCGACGAATCGAACGTTTGACGGAACGGAAGTTGCAAATACGAATACGAGGACACTCTCCACCTCACTTGTCCGCTCCCTCTTTTATCTCTGCTTGCGTTCCTCGGGAGCGGTTGTGCATGCCGTTGTGATACGTATCTGTGTTTTCGCACATTTCTCTCACTCCGATAGCTTAGACACCTTTTCTAGAAGCAATTTTTACGTTTATCCACGGGATAAACTGTTTACCGTAATATACACAGTAATGTATACAGTATGAAAAGTTATCGTTTATTCGGACTGTTTTATATTATATTACTTGGGTTTTCGTGAATCAGTTACGCATTTGATACTTTCATCGAACACAAGCGTTACCGCGTTTGATACTTTTACCGAACAAGCGTTAAACCGTCCGAAATCCAGAGTTGCATGCTTCCAACCATATCTTTTTCTTCGGCACACGAATCTACGAGTCATCCTCGAATTCTCCAAGTACTTTCGTTTGAACGTGTTTGTTTAAGAATCGCAACGGAAACTAAACACGCAGAGGTTCCATTTTTGCGATGCTCTGTTTATCTTCGAGTCGCGAAGCTTCTGGATCCTTCGGAAAGGACCAAACTTGTAGTCTTTTGTGACGATAATTTCGTAACGGAAGGAACGATAATTGCGAAAAGAAATGAAGCATAGATACCTCGCCGTGAAATACGATGAGAAAATACAGCTAGAGCCACCACCACCACCACCACCGCCACTATCGCCAACACCAACACCACCACCGCCAACAATGCCACGCGCAAACTCCCGTCTCCCGAATACGCTTGTTACGAAAATGGACGATCGAGTTGTAAACAAAGTAAAAAACGGCAGAAACGAAAACGAGAAAAGAAATATGCTAGTCTTGTCTCTAATCTGTGGCACGTGCCATTCCGGCTCTTTCCTTTGTAGCCGATCTACAGGATAGCAGCTGGGGCGGCCGGGGCTCACCGGAAAATCACAAGAGTCCTCGCGCCAGACGACGAAGATCCCCTCTTCTTCCTGATAGGCAACAACGTCCGAATCAAAAACAACGTAACTCGTGGGAACATGGTGGAAACGAGAACTCGCCGAACCGCAAGGAGGCCTATCACGAAACACACGGTGAGCGTGCTCTCCTGCGCGTTCGAGACGATCGTTCTTTGTCCCTCGCACATTTTGCAAACTATAGGGTCATTCGGTAAACGCTCGTCGTGTCGAATATCGATAGGATGCCGTCAATTTTCAACGCAAGCAGAGATCATACAATTATATATGTCTAAACGAGTTACAATGTCAATCTTGCAAGTCCTACCGAACCAAATAAGACGAAAGTAATTTTGGTGAACGCGTTGCGTCGATCATTGTCGGTATCCCTCGATATTTTTTACATTTTTTCGCTAAAAATCAGTTCACCTTGGTTTGCATCGCGCATGTCGGGACACCTCCTACACACCTCTAAGCGAGGAATAATCGGTTACTATTGAGAGAGAGAGAGAGAGAGGGGGGGGGGGGGACGAGTAACGAGGCAGTCGTTAAAACGCGACACGAACGCGCGCGGATAGTCGAACGAATTGTTTCGTGACAGGCCTCCGAAACCATCATCGGCACAACCATATCGAGGTCGGTAGCGAGATACTCGTGCCAGCGGCGCCCTGTCTCACGGACGACAACGTCCGACGGAAGTTGGACGCAGGAGCGATAATGGTCCACGGCAAGGAGGAACTGCCGTTGGAATACGAGGAGGAGGAGCAGGACAATAATCGAAAGCGCAGACCGTACAGTACCGGGAACATCATCAATCACGAAAGGATCAACAATCTGGAGAACGACGAGGAGCATCGTATGCTCAGCGACGACGAAGTGTTCAGAACGAGACGGCCCGTCGGACGTCACCGTCTACGATCGGCTGGCTCCGATCACGAGGAGTACTACACCGGCAGGAACAAGAACAAAAACGACGAGCCGATCAAAGATAAAAACGCAAACGCGCGTATCACGCGCGGCAACCTGACCACGCACAGGCACAGCGCTACCCTACCGAGAAGAAGACGAAGACGAGCACTCTCGGGCAGCTTCGCGGGCAACCCACTACCTCCTCATCGAGTCACACCGGACGGCACAGCTATCTACTATTGGTGCGAGCTCCCGCGCCGCCCCGGCTCACAGGGTAAATTCTTCTTCCACCCTGCCATCTCCGACACCTCTACCGCATATCCCCATAACGCGCTTACTTCTACAGACGTCGGCCTGTCCAGTAAACGACGGCTCTACTTTGTACAGAAATCGTAAACGAAAGTCGATGTTTCGCTACAGCTAGTTCTTTTCTACGGTATCGCTTCGCTTCTTCAACAAATTTCTCTCGCTGACAGTTGCAATAAGATTCCTTCGACATCTCGTTTGATATCCGCGTCAAATTTTGTCCCGCAAATAATACGTAATATACAATAATATGTAAATACGTATGAAAGCGATCGTTTATCGGACAGGTCTGTACATTGTCGGAAAGCCAGCAGTCATTTTATCCATTGTATTCCATCCGTGAATGTTTTCGTAGTTTTTAGAAAGGTAAATTTGTGTCACCGTTTATGGTTCATACGACCATGCTCGCTCGTTGCTCAAGCCTATGACTGTGTTTATGAGGATGGTGAAATTACAATGTGCAACGGGAGTGCGATCGTCTCTGAGAAAATCGATCGGACCTCGAATATTATTGGAACTAATCGTGACGGTGTATCGTTGTGTTGGTGGTGGTTTGCGACAAAAGTAATTGAAAAACTTCAATCAGGTGCTAGGCAATTCGGGAAGTCTTGCTAACGTCATCGTATTAAAAAACATTGCGGCCGTCTACGCTGCGAGTTTCACCACCGGTATAAACATAGTCATCTAAAATGAAAATCAAGCTACGACATACAACTATATATAGAAACGAAAGACCGACATTGAAAGTAGAGAAATCGTTCGAACGTAAAATCCATTTTATATATTCGTAGCGGTAAAGAGTTTCTTTCATCCTTTCATTCTCTCGATAGCGTGTTCGATCTCTCCGTCCAATGTTACGATTAATCTTTTCGATAAAAGCGTTTATACCGTGACGCGGAGAAGAATGAAAAAGACATCGAACACTCCTCGGTAAAAAAAAAAAAAAAAAAATGAAGCTAGTGCATCCTTTGTTTGTGTTTATCTGTTCTGCGCACCAGTAGCCGATGTGTATCGCTCTGACACTCGACCATACCTTCGCATCGTTTCATCACATTTCGTCGCCGACAAGAATGTCGATCGTACATCGATCGCTCGATTCGAATACGAATTTGCTACGTGTCTCGATCCGATCCTTCCAGTTGTTCATTGCCTTGTGTAATCGGTCGACGCGAATCATTTCAGGATCTTAATTCTAGGTCGAGTCTCCGATCGATCCAAGACTATTGGTAATAGACGGTTCGTTCTCTGTCACCAGAGTTGGACGACGGTGCTTACAACCCACTGTGGACGATGCGAGGATTCACTCAGACCTTCCACTTCTGGAAAGAAACTAGACGGGCCCAATCCGTTCCCCTGAATGCGTTTCTCACGTACATTACGTTGCCCTGGTGGAGCATTGCCAAAGGTACGCAACGAAACGTTTAGAAATGGTTCGGTTAACGAAAGTCGACGATGCGCGGTACCATCAGTCGAGTGCAAAAGGAACCGACTCTTCGATTAATGATCGTTTTCTCTCTTTTTCAGATATTCTTGATCACCGAGAAGGACCTATTCTGACGTTTTAGTCGACACGAGGTCGTTCCATTATCGTTTCTATGGAGAAGTGTTCACCGTTTCTCATTTAATTTTCCACTTTCTACTTATTTGGACAGAAAACTGTGGTCCAACGAAATCGAAGATATGTATAGACTAAGAAATAAACGAGATACTATTTACACTTTCGCGAGAGTCGGTTTGTTAGAAATTGTAATATGTTGGTAGAATGTTTGTTCGTCGGAAGAAGAGTGTTCCTTCTATTAGTAGGTGAGTCTAAAGTCTTCTTGTATGGATCGTCTTTCGATGTATGGACGCTCGTTTATCGTTGACAAACGTTTATCTTTCCTTTTCGTTCTTTCCCCGTTCGTTCAGTCTTCCTCGCACAGCTTACGTCATCTCGTTCGGATAATCTCCGAAATTGGTCCAGGTGTGATCCCAATTCTCTGGATTCGCCCTGACGTCCCAAGGCTTGTTTCCAGGGGGTATCGCGGTGGCGTTCAATCTTTTTAACTCTGTTTGCAGAGAATTGGCGACGACGGGAAACCTTAAACGCAAAGAAGAGAAGAAAATTTTCCCTCGAATCATCTCCGAAATGAAAAGTATAACCGTCGCTTGGTGCTTGCCATACTCGTCTCGAAAGGGTTAAAGAGTTTTTACTCACTCGTCGATAAGATTGTTAAATTCGCAGGGGTCCCGATGGACGTTGAAGAGACAAGGCGCTTCGAGAGGCCTACAGAGTGGTAGAGTGACGTTTTTCGGTGGACAGTTGATCGTTACACCCGCTCGAACTTTTCGAATAGATTCAGCGGACAAAGGTAGACCGACGCTAACCACTGCTCGGCCACTCGCGCTACCTATCACACCTCCCACGTCGTAGACTAACTCTCTTCCAGATGGACCGTACCAGCCGTCCCATTGGCCGTTATAAGTACTCCCTTTTGGCATATCAGTAGCCGTAAAATACCCTATACTCGGTGCCCCTTCGTACTAAAGAGGAAACGAACATTCAGCATCCAAGTTACAAACGTCTCTTACCCCGAATGAGTTTCCAATCACCGATCGTAATTCCAGACACGCCGAAAATGTCGTCGATATTGTGAAGGACGGTCGTCCGCGGAGAATCACTGTCTCGATTTAAAGCATTCCATAAATCCATGCCATCGATGTTTAAATTGGACGAATTGCCCCCAGCAACCGTGAGCAGCGTCGGTAGCCAATCGGTTATGTGAAAGAGTTGTCTGCTAATTCTTCCAGGCTGCATCAGCGCGGCTGACCATATCAATCCCGTTCCCCTAACGCCACCTAATCGCGATTAATTGGTCAACATTCCGAAAGCAATTTAAAAAGATGATAGAAATGTGAGATTTTCATGTGAAGTGTACTGCATAAATCTAAGCGTTGCAAGCCCATTATCGATCGATTCGTTGCTTTCGTTGAAAAAACTACCTTCCCAAAGGGTATTTTTTGTACCCCTTAGCGGCCAATTAGACGCAGCGTTCAAATTGAAACCTTCCGGCGGTCCACCGTTGTCTGTGGAAAACACTATTACGCTATTCTTCAACATCCCCTTGGCGCGTAACGCGTCGACCACGCGGCCAACAGACTCGTCCAGCTTGTCCAACATGGCTGAAACAACGTTACGAGTGTTACTCGTTGAGAAGCGGGCCGAGAGTTAGCGATTGAAAAATCGAAAGTTGATCGGTTACCAGCGAAGCGTCTCCGACCGTAATCGACGATGTCGTTGAACTTGGCAACGTTAACATCCGGAGCCGGAAGGGGATAGTAGGGATTCCCCGAGTGTACGGCCGCGTGAGCGACGTAAAGAAACATTGGCCGACTGATGTTGTGGTTCTCGATCAATTTCACAGCTTCTTTCGTAATAACGTCGGTGGTGTATTGGCCGTGTAGGTCCCAAGCTGGCTCGAGGTCGCGCCTCATGTCCAAACCCCAGTAAGGCTGCGTTGAAATTTCAACAATTATATAGCAAAGGTATTTGACCGATTAAGATCGCGTGTTATCAGAAATTGATCGGTCATCTGATTGAAACGACCAACGCTGTACGCGGAATTGATCGCGTTCGTTTACCTCCTCGACAGCGCTATGATCGAAGTAGTCTTGACGGCCGCTCCAGAAACCGAGATGGGAATCGAAACCCCTGTAAGTCGGCGTATACTCTTTCGTGTAGAATCCCAGGTGCCATTTGCCGACGATGTGAGTGCTGTAGCCGAGATTTCGCAGATACTCTGGCAGAAGTTTCTCTCGAAGAGGAAGTCCTCGGGGTTCGGCGCATTTCAGAACCTGATTCAATGCGACGCTACGTTAGACGTTGTCTCCAGTTTCGACCGCGAGAAACTATAGAAAGCAGAGATGGGCAAAATTTGCAGTCGCAATCAAGTTTTTTGTGCCCATTTACGCCAGTTTCTCGAGTCGCCGGCAGTTTACTTATTCGGGAGCCTAGCGCACGCTTAAACGAATAACGTTTAATTTATTTGCGGCCATACCCCGTGTTGCATTCCGGTGTGAATGGGATGTTTGCCGGTCATCAAGGCACTCCTGGATGGCGTGCAGATCGGAGATACGTAATATCGGTCGAGAACAAGTCCAGAATAAGCCAGGGCATCGATGTTGGGCGTCGGTATCTGCCCGGAACCGTGAAATCCAACGTCGTTCCATCCCTGATGAACAATTTGGCTTACAATTCGTCGTGCGATAACTGCGACGCTTGATAAATAATCGTAAAGCCACGTGTAAGTCCTAGCTAGCGACGCATATTATCGTTAATATTGAATTACGACTCACTAAATCGTCGGCCAAAATGAACACGATATGGGGTTGCGTAGCTGCAACGATACGATTCACCAAAAGAACTATCGGTGTAAACCACTGAATTGTATCGGTCATTCTCTTGGACGTTTTCTCACACGAAGAGACTCCTTCGATGAGCTGTAAACCGGTTTCTTGGAGATATCGCTATTTCCTCGACCTTCCCTTCCTTACTCAACTTCCAATGATCGACATGTATTCGAACACGGTTCGATGAACCCTCGATACTCGAGCTTTTCTTATGTTCTTCGAAGCGTCGCGTAAACAAACCGAGCAAACGCAAACAATAAAACGAAGAGTTTCCTTTCTTTTCGTTGGGACAAGTTCGAGTCGCGAGCAACGAGCACTCGAGCCTGTGGCCGATGTTTAACTGTCTTAAGCTACTCGTCTTCATCGCCGATGTCAGATTGAAGCCGAGTATTGGAGAGAGTTAACCATTCCACCTTAATTGGTAGTGGGGAGAAGCAGTCACATGTTAATGGAGTGCAGTGTTTCTCAAACTTGGCATTCCTACGGAACCTCTCGGTAGAGCACAACTTATCCAAGATCAAAGTGTCACTTTTTTTTATATATTATTTGAAGATGTTCTTTTACGTTCTTTTCCTGCAATGGTTTATTTATTAACAATTTTTATTCAATTTACATACTTCCACGTCTTTTAACATCAACTTCTGAATTGGCCTTACCGAATCGTTACTTGCAAATATTTACCTCGTTCCAATCGATACTAAAGGTTCTGAAATATACGCAAATAAAATTACTATACGATTGATTGTGTCCATAGTTACTTAATAAATATGTGGCAAATGGAGAAAGAAATTACTCTCAGTGTTCGCACAACTAATTGAAATTTCGCGCGCGTTCTTACAAACACCAAATCTCTATCTAGCGGTGAGCAGACCGAACTAAAATTCCGACCTCCGATCAGCGCTTTAGCGGAAAAACGCCCAAGTTTGTCCTCGAATAGTTCCTACTTTCACCGTCAGATGGCGTTATTTACATTGCATTTACCGACAATGATGGTAATGTATCGACAGGTGTCGGTAAATACAATGTGAATAACGCCATCTGGCGGTGAAAGTAGGAACTATTCGAGGACAAACTTGGACGTTTTTCCGCTAGAGCGCTGATCAAAGGTCGGAATTTTAGTTCGATTAGTTATGCGAACATTAAGGTGGTCTGGTCAACAATGATAACAGTTAGCTTTACATATAAAAATAACACATTTCAAGAAGTAAGTGATTGCAACCGACCAATTATTTTTCCTAATACAATGTAATCACTTTGTACCTTTATACTTACTTGTTTGTATATAAATTTGTTTAAAAGGAAATATAGACGCATTTTGAACTAAATCATTAGACTTTAATTATTACTAAGATTTTCTAAATCAATAACATCATATACAGCTTCATGGAAATTATCCCTTTAATTCCCCTTCATTTCCTGGTAGATTTCCCATTAGCTTCCCTTCATATCCTGACACATTTCCCTTCATTTCCTGGTACATTTTCCAATGACTTCCATTCATTTCCTGCCAGATTTCCCATTCATTTCCCTTCATTTCTTGACACATTTCCGTTCAATTTCCCATTATTTCCTGACACATTCCTCATTAACGTCCCTTCATTTCCTGGCACAGTTCCCTTTGATTTTCCATCATTCATATCAACTTTCCTCTATTCTCCGGTACATTTCCCTTCATGGCTTGGTACAATTTACATTTCAAATCCCTTTCCCCAATTTACAACATTGTAGAACTTTTGAGCGGAGCGAAGTTCAACAATGTTGCAAATCGCACATATCGAAAGTTTAACAATGT